AGAATTGGTTTTAAATTAATCACATAACCTAGAAAAGCAATAAAATCAAGCTTTTTAAGTCAATTATTTAGAAAATGGCCCAATTAGTTGAAACGGAAGTTTTTGCAATGCAAATATCCGAAATATTTTAACACTTCCGTGAAGCTATCCGCCATTTCTGAGCATAATATCTGCCCTTTGGTGAAAATGCATGAAAATGTTGTCGTTTTGCGCCATGCATTCAACATACTTATTGTATGTGACATTCAGTAGGAAATGATCTTTGTTAAGTTCAAACTTTCTTGTATCAATAGAGTGTATTTGGGTGTTGGCTGGGTTGCCAGCATGCCATGTATTCACATTAGTGTTGGGTTGACGCAGGGATGAACGGGTAAAATGGGTGGTTTGGCTTGCGAAATGCTCCATCTTTTCTAATCACAAACAATGGATTTCTGGTGCGACTGGGTTGAATATGAATTTTGGGGTGTTTTTGTTTGTTTTCATCAGTTGGAGCTTTAATGAATACAAAATAGTGGGTAGTCGCTTCGTTGGTGGGGAGTGACATGGAAATATGTATAGTGTAGGAAAGTGGTTGAACCACTTTCCTGCTCGGTGCAATTTTTGTGGGAAAAATTAATTTACATCTCTTGAATATATGGCGTTCGAGCACTCAATACTCTGCGTTGCAAGGGGTATTTTTTAATTAAAATTGGGGCAAAGCACAAATCAGTTTGTAAGTTTCTCCAACACTGGTAATTGTTATTAAATGATAATGTGTGTATTTGGTGGAAATTTGCTGTAAACTAAAATTAATTCAGCGTGAAGTAACTGGAGAAATAGGATGATGGTCCACAATAGGCGACACACATAAAGAGATAATACACTGTCAAGCAATTAACATGATGTGGAGGAGGTTTTTGTACGCACATAAGCGTTAGCTTTACATAAAATAGTAAATAAATAGGAACAATAGGACAACCCTCCATTTTCCCGTCGGATATACTTGTTGGAGCTGGAGAGATATTAATCAAGTAGGTAACAGTGGAGGACCTATTGAAATGGTGGCTGTTTCCTATCAAATATTTCATTATATGGGCATCTTTGGGCTGAGCGTGGAGTACATTGAAAAACTAATGACCCTTGTGCTTTTCGACACAATTTTATGAGCACACAGGACAATAATTTATTTATGCAAATAAACGACTACACTGTTATTTCTGATTAAGCGCTGATGGTAAATATTGGTAAAAATAAACAGATTTTCTGTATTTTACACACTTTATCAGCAAATATGAGATTGACGAGTCTGTGCGAAAGGTAGCGATTGACATATACTTTGAAATCCAGTTTAGCCAGCCAAAGGCGTAATTTGTTGAACCTGCTGTGGGGAAAAATTCATGAAGATTTGTGAACACAGTGACGTTCTATTATTACACACCACCTCCGAGAGGGTTGCAGTTCCCTGGGATTTATACGCGAGTCTGAATTGTAGAATGGAAAGCAGAAGCCAAACACAAAATGGATTATAGATTTTATGTTTGTAACCTACTTCGCAGTGCTGAATATGAGTATAATCCGACTTTTGTCGGGAGAATTTAATATTGTAATGTGGGAAAGATTTTGGGTGATGCGAAGTAAAAGTGGAGGATTATTAAGGGCACTCTCTATTGTTTTGCACATACTTCCGCTTTGTCGGCAAAGTCGAGAGGAGAGCTAATTTGGCATTTGGAATGGCTGACGTGTGTCTTATTTGATACATAATTGAGTTATCATAAGACACACGCGGCTATTTCAGGTGATGAAATTCATCTTCGGCATTTCTGCAACATTAATCATTTATTGTTTGTAAACCCATAACATGGGAATTTAATTAATCAACACATTATATTATGTCTAAATTCCTAGGTTAAATAATTGCTTTCTGGTTTGTAAATAATTTCGACTGAGAATCAAAATGTTGGCATGATTGGAAATAATGTGTAGCGGTTGCTAATTGATAGGTGGATAAGAATCATAGAAATGCACGTATTAATTAAATTGATTGGAATTCAAATACCTCTCTTTACTAATGTAATTAAATCCTGCCTATGTTACACTATCTAAATGGCATATCGAAACATACTTTGTGCAATGAGCGAAGCGATAGGATTGATTGGACGTCGTGCATCGAAACGTTTTCCCAAATGGGAAATGATTGGAATATCAACTTTAATAGGATTAAAATAAAACTGCTATAAACTTGTCTATTCGGCAGTTACAATCGCAAAGTGATTGCCACTTGACAGTTTTCAACATTCATGGTCGCTCTAATAGCAGATTCATGAGCTATAATGGGTGGTAAATTAGTTGTGAAACTTACACTAATCACTTTTATAAATGCTTATTATAGAAAATTTCCCAGAATTGTGAAGTAATTCTCTAAATGATGTCAATGAAATCAACTAACAAGTGAGAAAACTATATTGGAGTTTAGACTAACCTATATAAAGCGTATTTCATCTTCAATAGTCTAACTCTAGAGATCCGGAATTATTTTATCTTCTGATGAATTACCGCTTCTCTTATGCACATGTACTTGAGATATTGAGTGACAGGTGAAGGAAATTTCCTGATTTGTTTCAGAGTGTTACGGATGTTGCGATGAGTTTGTACCTACAACTCTCTTCAGAAGTGGTTGCCTGGAGTGATGTGATGTGTAGGATTTATGTCGATTATTGTGTATTCTTGTCATCTCACTCATGCGGGAATACATGTATTTTATGCCATGTTACATAAGCTGAACAGGAATTCATGACTGGGGAAGCTATGAGGCTTTTTGGATCAAAATCTTATGCCTTCCCTGTGTGGAAAGAATGGTGTGGTTGCCAAAGATATTTGGCGTTTTGAGAGAGAGATATATATATATTGGAAAAAGCTGGCAGCACATGTATACCTGTGGGTTGAAGGTTAGAAAAGTGGTGACAAACCCTTTATAAGAAGGGTACTGTGTTCCAGAGTAAAGTCACTCCATTTCCTGCATGTGTATGATTATATTAACCTAGATTTTTGCCACTCTATGAGAAGCATTGAGGAATCCGAATGGTCTCCCATGTCTATGGTATTAAAAGTCGAAACGAGAGAGGCAGAAAAGTTAGTGGTTAACTGGGATGAAATCTCTCTACTGTGTGGCATTGCCTTATCTCATGGGTTTTATTCATATCGCAAATATCAGATTTTTATGACTTCTACATGACAAAAGGGTTGATACTGTTCTGCATATGGCGAAAGTCTGCCACATGTTGTATTCCGAAAAGCTCTCACCTGAATTTCGAATGAATATGTATATGTTTGTTTCTGATGAAGCGATATCATTTTTTTTGCTGCTGGAAATTTAAGTAGATAAATGATTTGGGGACTCTTTCAAGCGACAATATTGTGTATAGAGAAAAGTAGCTTGGAGAAATTCTACTGTGATATGTGAGTTGCATCGCTGTATGAATCAGGAAGCAAAATTTTAGCAACGCTTGCACATTTCCGTGTAGCTTTTCTACACGGAATGGTTATGGCGCATGGAGAGAAAAGAGACACTTTCCTCTTCGTGGTGTTTTCCTGTCCATTGGACACTTGGAATAAATTCGCTTCGTTGACGGGAATACCGTAAATTGCAATGCCCTGGAAAAGGCATATTTTGCAAGCGTGAATAGCATAAATTTTTCCGTATAACAATCTAAATCTTTGTATTTTGTATCTATACTGAAGAGCGCAAGACACAAAATGATGACAGTTATTAAAAGAACTGTAAAATTAATGATAATTTTCGCACGTGAGCAGACAGACAATTGGAAGGGGCGGAGCATTTGTGTGGGAGGGGCTTTTAAGGAACTTCCTCTTGCTTATGCTTTTCAACAAGCTTTACGATTGCTTTATCACAGTTATAGAAAAATTAAAAATGTTGTTCTATTACGAGGAACGAGAAAATAATGGGATACTTTTAGTGCATACGTAATAATGATTAAAAAGCGAGTGGATGTGGATAAGTTGTACGGGAATTATAATGTTCACTTCAAAAGTAATTGGCGTGCAAAATGCCTTAAAGATATGTGTATGTATTTCAATTCTCGTTTCATCTGGATTGCAACCCTTTATATCTATAATGATTATGTCGAAAATAACATGCTTTTACTTTTACTACTGCTCTGAAGTCCATGAACTGCTCTCGTTGTTGGCTCTTTGTGACGCTTAAACACATAAAAAATGATTCAGCAAGAGGAATTTTTTATGATATATGAGCTAAATATGAATGTACATATGTAGAATACATATTTACTTATGCATATATGTGCCCACGTTTTCATTTCATTTTAAACTGTGCCGAGTGCGAATGATGTGAATTGTATAAAAAAGTCCTGTGGCACAGAATTCTTTGATGTTACTTCATGTGATGAAAATTGATCAACCAAGTAAATTAATTTTTTCTTTTTCCCCACGCGATTTTATTTGTTTCACTTGTAGAATTTGGGGCAATATTACAAGTGAGGTTGTGAAGTTGAATTTATCTGCGGGGTGGTACAATAACTCTAACCTGTTTAGTGTTTACCTCAAGGGATATTAGGTGTATGTGTGTCTCTTGTTGTGAATCACTTTTGCTGGCAGGCAATTAAATTTTCATTTAGGTTTCTTCCTGCCAAAATGAGCAAATATTCTTTTTTTTTCATCTGGTTATAAGTTTGTGTGCTATTTATGAACGTTATTACATCGGTACATGAGTTTGTAGCAACTTAATAAGTCAAGAGCTCCACTTAATTCTGCTCTTTCTGCTTTACATTTAAACTATTTATGAAAAGTTGCAACATCTTATGCGCCTTCTGATAGTTTGAATGTAACTTGTAAACTCTGTTAACCTGTGAAATAGACTCTTGCCCTGTAGTGATAAAATCATGAAATGAAGGGACTTTCACATTTTTCTCATCTTGTTTCTTAATTAATTTGCATAAAATTGAAAAAGTTAATAATTCATTTCCTGTTTGTCATTTCTTTTGCAGACTTTTCGCCATGGATTTCCTCATGCTCCGACTGCCCTATCCTATGATCCTGTGCAGAAATTGCTGGTGATTGGAGATAAAACTGGAGCGTTGCGAATGTATCCTTTTACAATTTGCCACTTTATATTATTATACAATACTTCAATAGAGGTGAAAAGTCACAGAGAGAGAGAGAGAGAGAGAGAGAGAGAAGAGGAAGTGGTAAAAACATTTCCTTGATGAATTTCACATTGAAATTGGGGGACGTTAATTAAGAATAGCTTTTCTGGAATGTCTGAAATTTCCACTCAAATATATACACACTTTTGAAATGAAGAAATCAATGAAGCGACACTGCCAAGTAAAGTTTCTTATAGTGACGATGGTATTTGCACCGCGAGTCTGGAATATGTTATTGGGAATACCACAAAGTGTTCACGATCAAGTGTAAATTCCCTAAAAGACAAAGTAATTTGAATGAGTATTCGAAAATTGCCTGAGGCACAGTGGAATGTAATAAGTTCATTCCCCAAATCTATTTGGTGAATTTCAATCCTCACTTAATCACACATTATTTCGTAGATCGTTTAGATTGAAAGATTGTCCGAGGGTGAGTAATTGAAATGTACGAGCAGAAATTGTGTGTGATTAATTGATGGGCACCAGCCTTGAGGTGGTGGAAAATTCATACAATATTGAACAATTACATGACAAATAACCACCCTGGGATTGTTGAACTGTGGCCAAGATAGGGATTCTATTTAAAGGTGTCTTGTAAATTTGTAAATTGTGGACAGAATTTGATTTAAATATCCACTTTGAAAAGCACTGAAGTTCAAAGTTCAAGTCAATATTTATTTTTATCTCTTTAATAGAACTGAATTAATATGATTTCATTTGATATTTCTCAAATAACTGACCATTTGTTTTCTAAAGGACTCTTAAACATCTTTTCAGTTATAGTGAACTCTTGAAAATCCGACTCCTTTTCACGATTATGATATGTGTTGCAACGAAATTGTGCCTTTGCCGCGGGGTTTGGTTGTGTTTCTTTATAATTTTGAGTGTAGCAAGGCTTGACGTACTTGTTGTAAATCTGCTCTGTCTACACAAGATCTCGTAAGCGTGAAGGGTTAACAGACACTCTTCTGTGTTTAAGGATTCACAGAGAGATGCTGTGGGTGTGAAAGAAATTGACGAAAGGGTGAAGAAAAGGGTATTCATCGTGAAGGGCTATAAACTCATGTTATTGTATAATTCTCCATGCGGAAAATATTTCGAGTTTCACTTGGAATGCCGAAATGGGTGAGTTGAGAGATGTTGGGAGACGAGGAGGAGCATTTTCTCTGGGTGAATCATTTTCTTCTCTCCGTCTTGTCATTTTCAAGCAGTACGTGAAGTGACTATCAAAGCAAGAACATTCGACTTATTGTAAGTAGTTGCCTTCAATTATATAAGTCTTGTGATATGGGGTGAAAAGGGGTGGTGAAAGTGGAAAAAGCGAATATGAAAAGTCACTTTGAAATGGGCTTCCCTGTCATGTGGATTCCAAGAGTCGGGAAAATCAATGAATCATCAGTTTTTTTTCCTCACTTCTTCAATAAATCAATTAAATGTGTCAAGAATAATAAAGGGATTTGATGGATTTCACCCTTCTACACATCGTGTCTAATTGAATTTTCACTCTTTCCCACCCAACTCAACAGATTGTTTGAATACCTAATATTCCAAAAAATGAATCAAGATCAAACATGTGTTTTCTTATTTGACCCCAATTTCGTATCTATTCGAGAGAGGAAAAAAAAATACTTTTAATTTTCTGACTTTGCACTTTTTATTATTCTTCATGAGAAAGAGTTTGCAAGAGAGAAAAAAGAACTGTTGGAGGAAAGGCCGTTTTTGTTGGTTCTTTTTCTTTTCCTCCTTGTTTTCAAACACAAGAGTGGCCTTTTCGGGGTGTGCCTTTGCCAAATGTTTCACTTCATTTCTCTTGTTTATTTATCCATTTGAAGTGGAAAAGACTTTCTGGCACGGTTAACTTCTTTAGCGATTGTCGGGAGAGAATTTCTATTTTGACCATGTCCTGAGATAAATTGTAATGCCTTTCAAGCCTGAATCCCGTGAAATAGAGTGAAATCTGGCTATTGTATTACATTTTTCGTGGTTAAATTTAAAAGCAGATCCATAAGAATATTCAATGTGACGTTGTGGAAAATATTCCAGACATTATAGGGGTTGAGAGACGTGGAAAAAGCAAGTGGAAATGCAAAGGAGAATGTCGTGAAGAATAAATTTTAGTATGTAAAAGAGGTTCTGATTGTTAAATATAAGTTTTATCGCACACTGTGTGAGATTCTTGACAATCCACCTCTTCGGGCAGATGTAAATCATATATGTAATTGTATGGTTGGTGGAAATGTCACTGAAATTTTGAAGAAGTGGCAGTAAAAGTTGCCGGAATGAGAGTCTTGTCCTTACATGCATATAAATTTAATATTATTTCAACTATGGAATCTCCGTAAGAAAGTTGCGGAGAATCAGTTTAGGTAAATCTTATATTTCACCCTTACTATGTATTTGTTGTTATATAAGTTTCATGCTAGCAGAGATGAATTGTTGAATTTTGTGACAGACATTAAGTCACATCGTATCCTTAAAATGTAGATAGAACGAAGAGATTGCATTAATTTAGAGTAAATGACATTTTTCGAGACATTCGCCATTTCTGCCGTGTTACTTCTCATTTTGCTGACAAAATCTTTTTGTGAAGAGACATAAATTTAGCACAAATCCAGAGAAAAACGTCATATTGCATGCGGTTTTCATTGTGTCTAAAAGCAAAATTAACTCACTATGCTCTGAAGACAATGGCTTGAAATGGCGACTTTGTGAAGAATTACAGTACGGAGTGCAGAAAATAAGGATATGTGTGTGTGTATTCCTAAAACACAAATCTATTCTTTCACTTTGTCGAAAATTCGAATCACGTATCGACACAAAAATTGAATTATTATTCTGCTCGGTGCGATAAATCAATACTCTCTGCTGCATATTTCTGTCTATATTACGTTTGGAGCTGACACGCCAGTTGAGAAAGTACGAAATTTATACAGTCAGTCGTATTCGCACACTTTTTTCTGGTTAGTTAAGCTAATATGGAACCGCAATCGGTTGATAAAATGACTGCGCCTCCCAATTTTATCGAAATCATTGAATTTATAACGCATATGTGCTCATGTTACAATAAAGACGTGTATAAAATCCGTACGCGCAATAATCATACGCATTCGGCGAGGGAGTTTTGCTTCTGATTCCGCAGTAAATTATGGGCATGAGTGCGTGAAAACTGCAAATGAGATGAAATGATTTTCTTTCACACCCTTTTTGTGGTGATTGAGGAGTTTTTATATCGCCTCAAAATTAATAATTCATCTAAAATTAAGCGGGAGTTTTCGGAAAACACCTGCTCTATCATACGTGGTCATTATCTCTGCATGGAGCCTTAAAAATTAATCATGGTCCGACTTGAAGCCTTTCTCGATCCCAAAAATGTCCGAACTGACAGTTGTTAGGTCAAAAATTCAGCAATGCGAGACAAATTATCACTTGGTTTTGACCACAATTCATCATGACAAGGAAAAATCTCATGGTTTTCCGCTGTGACAACGAACATTGAGAGTAGAATTTGGCATTTGTGTGTAGAATTGACAGTTAGAACGTGTGAAATTGTGTAGCATTTCGATGTTACAATGTGTTTATTGTTGTGGTTTAGGAATCAAGTACGAGAGAGAATACATAGGGCCTGAGCGCGAGGGGTGTGTTTTTGGGTGGGTGGTTGACTGTGGATTGCTTGGCAAACACATCGTTAAGTAAACAATTACTTGTGTGTATGTGTGTTGATATTTTACTTATTGACGGTGTGTGGAATGTGATTGGAGACTATGACATTGATTTTTCTTTGGCTTTTATTGCAAGAAAAATTGTTACAAGGCGAAAAAAAGTCCCGAGAGAAGACGATTTCGTGATAGGCGGAAAAACTTTTTCCCGGATTCACATTATTCAGAAGCGAGCCTGACAGTTTCTTATGGCAGTAATTGAGGCATGGTGAGTGACAAGTTATTAGAAAAGTCCCCGATGCGTGCTAATCCCAAAGGGGCCGGTGAATATTTTTTTACAGTGAAAATCCACCATTTGGGCCTAGGATGAGATAAGGGCGCTGTTAATCTCCTGCAAAAGCTTCCGGATGCTGGGCTATGGAAGTCTTGAGACTTTTCGCTGTGATATTTATTTTCCATTATTATCAGATTGGAAGGGGATTAGCCCGAAAGCTGAAAATCCGCTTTGATTCCTGCCTCCTTATTATCTGGAGTGCCTCTTAGTGTGTGACGATTGCAAAGATGTTTCGTGTCTAATGGTGGGCTTTGTAATCAACAGATTGCATGGTATTTTGCATATATATTTTGCGGAATTATGTTGTCAAGCTTGATTGCAATCTCAATTCTTTATTTTGCTCATTCTTGATGAGCTCAGCGATGGTCAAAGCGTGAAATTCATTTAACTTTACCCAATAGAAAGACTTTATTCAAGTCTTTATCATAAATTTTCACATTTGTGTGAATTCATACGGATTTGAGAGTAAATAAATTTGTATGAGCTGATTATTGAATGTTTAACAGTGATTGCAAGAAACATTCAGGATCTTATCTCTTCGTGAAATTGATATAACGTGTGGTCTTTCCAGTAAATTTGTATGTCCGACTTGCATGAATATGAAATGAGGAAATGGAGAGATGTACTCCTTTCGCAGGGATTTGACAGGAATGGCCCTGGTCTCCGTCCGACTGATTTCCCATAACTCTCTCTCTAGTTGTGTACATTGTTTAATATCTGCAATGCTGAGGGATCAGCACCGCATCGTTATTATGTGCAATCAGAGTGTGGTATTTAAGCAATTTGATTGGAAATACATCAAATAATAAAATACCCTTGTATAAATATGTCTCTGTGACAATTTCACACACACTAGGTTTTAATTAAGTCATGACAGGAATGAGTTGCCCAACAGCCATGACTTTTCGTACGGACTAATTAAATTTTTGCTATTAGATCTATGGGAGGA